CTCTCTCCCTCTCCTCCCATCTCTCCCTCTCTCTCATCTCTCTATCTCCCTCTCCCTCTCTCTCACTCTCCCTCTCTCCCCTTCCCCTATCTCTTTCTCTCTCTCCCCTCTCTCTCTCTCTCGCTCTCTCTCTCTCCTTGCTCTGGCGCTCTCGTCGACGCAGAGCTGTGACGTCACTGGGCCAGTCACCCGCTCAATATAGCTCAGGCCGCCCTCGGACCGGCTGACGTGTCTCAGCATTCTTCTGCTCATCGGCAGGCTCATGGTGTAACCCTGCCCGTCTCGCGTGCTGCTCGCATGCTACTAACAATTCATTAGAGGGGACGACAATATCTCTCCCAGAAGAAGCGTGGCCAGGAATGTGATCACGAGAAGTCAAACACATTAAAGCATATAACAGTGATCCGAACAAAGCCTACGCCGCATTCTGATCCATCAAAATAGCACGGCATCTATCAGCCTTTGCGGCAGATGATAACATGAGGAGCATACGACGACGGGCAACTTCTGCAATAATTAACTTTTAAGAGTTGAAAGGAAATGATGTGAGCTGCGAGCGCCCGAAGTATGTGGCATAAACCCAGGCCCGGGGCGGCCGTGCCGCAGCATTGTGCGGCACGTAACACCCTCCGCATTCCTGTCTGCCGAAAGGGCGGAGGCAAACTATCCGTTGAACTGGACGGCACGACTTGGATGGTGGGCTCAGTGGCACGCAACAAGCCATGCTTAGCAGGCACTCTACACCGAAAGCCACCCACGCAAAACCATTCGAAGCAGATTTATTTAGAGAAAACCTCAGTGTGCTTTTTATGCATCCTGATCGCGTGGCCATATTCCATTCCGATAAGAAAGCCATTGATTCGAGACACGTGTGAGGCGGCAACCCGAAGATCCATTCATGTAGAGGGATGATGACTAGGAGTGTGATGCAACACGATGCGAAAACAATGTGGCCGCACGGTGCCCAGGCAGCTGCGGGTACAGCTGTGACAAGACCCAAAACCGAGCCTAGTGCTGATTCCGGGGGATTTGACGGTCTTGTTACACTAATTCCAGGGTGATAGGGTGGGCTGATGATGCTGGACTCTAAACTGGGTAGGCAATGGCTGGGCAGTGAACAGACGACTGAGGACTGCTTGGAGCTAAATATCTGGTTTAATTTCGATTTTGTAATGGTCGCATGTATGTTTGAAGCATAATGTTGGAAAAGTAGGGATTTTACATGGATTTTCAGCTAATCTTGAGTTCAACAGTTCGCGGCTGTGACACATTGAGGCACATTCAGACTTGCCTTCATGACAGGATATCTGCCGGCTTAAATTTGTGAGTTTGACAATAAAAACGGACCAGACCCAAAGTACCACTCGTATTCCTACGCCCTAGTTGTTTGTATGACGGCGCGATACTTCTACGGAGTGGGTCTCGACCGTGTACGCCATGGGAGCGTGGTGTCGCACGTAAGTGGCGCGGCACTGCAGTGCGGCATTCGTGACGCAGCGCTGCTGCCCAGTGGGCCGAAGCCTGCACTGCACAGCTGATGTAGTAATGTGGTCCGGTAGGAGCAGTGATCGATGAGCTGCTTTTAGTTGTCACACTTTCCTTTTTATTCGGCGAAAGATGCAATTTACATTTTGTCGTAATCCCAAGCAACTCAAGTACTATGTTTAGCGTAGTTAATTGTTGATGACACCTAAAATTGAGCAGGTTTACGCGATATACTTGCGTTTATCTCAGTGAATATTTGGTTGTTTCCAACTATAATTATTCGGGTCTAGATTTGGACAACCAAAAATACACTGAATCCGAGCATTCGGCAAACATTCAAATACTCAACTTGTGAATGTTTGGCTCTAGCGCGTGCGCAGCCTTACAGCTGATACAAAAATACATCAACAAGCCTTTTTCACGCCACCTGCCTCGTGCAGCTTTCACCAGGCGCGTGCACGAGTCGACAGCATCCCACCCCGTGCCTGCACCTCAGCACCCCAACGCAGGTCCCCCTCACCCTGAAATCCCATCCCACCGAGGGCCGCGCGCGCTACTGGGCCGCGCCGCACCGGCCTTGGCACAGACAGGGCCGCCGGCTGCGCCTTGTTTGTTCGCGGCGTCCTCGCGCAGTCCGGCGCGGGATCCTCCGACCACTGGCGGCCGGCGCGGGCGGCAGACGCCGCGACCGTCCCACGTGACCGCCGCCGCCTCCCCTGCGAGGCCGGCCCGGGCGCCGCTCGCCGGCGCTGATGAGCGCGCTGCAGCGGGCGCGGGGCCGCCGTTTTTGGCGCGGTGTGGGAGGCGGCCGGCGCCGGCGCGCTGCACAGGTGGCTTCCGCCGCTCTCACGGGACAGTAGCGCGGCGATTTGTTAGTCGGAGCGGCGGTATCCCGGATGGCGCCGCCAGATAAATTCCTCCGATAGCGGTCCATTTATAACCGCCGCTCGCCGGCCTGCATGTGAAATGATTTAACGGGTGCAGTCGGCCATAGAGCATTAGCGGCCGACTGCACCCATATATCACGCAGAGCGGACTGGACGGCTTTTCACGGCTCTGGATTTGGGAGCGGGTCACTGGGAGCCCAATGGCCTTTGACTCAGACGGCGGAGCTGCTCTTGAACCCGTGCGGACCAGCGCACGTACGCAGTGATGATCGGTGCCGTCCGTAGTGCGCATTTGGCGGTGGGGTTTCCCCTCCAGTAAACGTCATTCGCACCGCGGAGAGGACCGGCAATGCTCCAAAGCAGAAGATGTGGACTCTGGCGTCCATGGATATGGGTATGGGAAGTTTAAGCCAGCCTGAGGCGGACGGAAGATTCCATGTTGATGGCGTCCCGAGAGAAGCACAATTTCATGGTCCCGCCCCGGCGGTGACTGATGGCCCGCTTAGAGCCACTTTCGGAGCATGTGGGCTCGGGGGGGGGGGAGGGGGGCAGAGCGTGCGGCTCATGGTCACGACACTGGATTCTTGAAACAGCCCGGGATGTGACCGTCTGTTGAGTGGGTTGACGACTGAGTGGCATGCGTCGACATCAGCGGGAACTTTGGCGGCTTGTTTGAAGCACCACGAAAGGACCGTCGCTCCCCAGAAACGCGGGATCCGCACAGGAGTCCGCGAAATTGCTGGAATGCGTGAGTGACAGCCAACTTAGCGCATGCTATAATCCATATGTATGGAAGCTGGGATTTTGAGAATTATTACGTCATGGTTGCAGAAAATCTGAGGAAAGTCCACGGGGTTCTTCACCGCAGTGCTCTCGGGGGGGGGGGGGGGGGGGGGGCGGGTCTGCAGCTCCCAACTAATGCCGCTACCAATACTATGCCAACCGAAATGCACGATCTCACACTACGTTTAGTAAAAACGCGTTTTTAAAGAGAGTAAACAGCCAGACACGGGGCGGGTCTGCAGCTCCCAACTAATGCCGCTACCAATACTATGCCAACTGAAATGCACGATCTCACACTACGTTTAGTAAAAACGCGTTTTTAAAGACAGCAAACAGCCAGACACAGAGAACGGCGGGCGTTGTGTTGGGGCAACGGATGTGCTTCCACGAAATAAGCCAGTTGAAAATAATTGTTTTTCTTGTGTTGCATACATTGCTACCTGTTGTCGCATTGCCGCATCTTTTAACTCGCCCAAGCCGGAAATGCATGGTGCATCTTTACCTCAGGTGGTGCTTGTTTGAGAGCGTTATTCTCACTAACACGCATCACAGCTGTTCGGGCACAAACGTTTCTAAACAATTTGGGCCTGCCTTAGTTCTACATAGCTGTGAGGCATTTTTTGATATTTGTATAAGTTTGCAAAAGGTTCTTACCATATGACAAGACGCCATTCAGGACCCTTCCTACAGATTACGGGTGCAACTGTAAAGCGGTGTTAATGTTACAATATACATATATTTCTCAAGATATTTTCAAAGTTTTTCCTTGTCATCATTTTGGTTAGGCTTAAGACGAAATATATCAATTCCATTGATCAATACAATCATGTAAGGTAAGGTTTGTGATGGATGGCTAGCTTTTGCAGGGATATGGAGCGCGGGTATGCTGCGCCTTTTGTGGATATGGCTCGCTTCAGTAAGGATAAATGGTGGGTGAAAACGCGTGCTCTCTGAAAGAGCGATAAGCCTATCAAAGGAGCCACACTTGGGATGACCTGCAACCACGCCCGTGAGATGTATGAGACAACTCAGGATTTGAGGGGTCAAACCTGAATCCGAGTGAACGTGACTATTTGGGAAGGTGGGTTATTTATCTGGAGATAAATAGCAGATAAGAAAATTATCTTGAGCGTAAATCGCAAATAAACGTACATTTTATGAGTAAAATGGAAGGGGATATTTTTTTCTTTTGGTAAATTTAAGGCCATGTCCCTCAAACCCCTCCCCACTGGTAGAATTCAAGACATGTACGTCCAACAAGGCCACTGCGCGGAAGGGAACTTCTCTTACGTCTCATGCCCAATTTATGCTACCGCAATGCCAACATCGTATTTTAAATGTACACATTAATGATACAGCTATATGCCAGTTTGAATCCTGCGAACGCCAAACAGCTTTGGACGTCACATGATCTCGGGCAACGTCCTGTTTTCAAAGCCACATAAATGCCAGCCCCAACGCCGAGGAGCTTAATGGCTGTGGTTGCCTTCTCACATATACAGCCACACAGCCGCCGTCTGCGCCTCGAGCCCTCGAGACCTCGTGATCGCGGGCGCATGGAGCGCGCACACCAGACCGTCACGCCGCCGTACCCGCCCCACCGCGCAGAGGCTACCCGGTCACGTGACTGCCGGACACGTTCCGCCAATGGACGCGCCAGGATCGCGAACGGAGCACGCCGATTGGCGGGCCGGTCGGTATCTTGGCTGCGGTTGGTAGCCTCGCACCGGGCGGCGCTAAACTCGTGGGATTCTTTGTCGTCGGCGGGCGGACGGGCGGGCGGCGGCGCAGCGGCTGGCAGTGCCGGACGGGCAGCAGTGGCCGCAGCAGCGGTGTGAGACGGGCAGCAGTGGCCATAGCAGTGGAGTGAGCCTGTGACGTCAATCTGGATCACATCGGCGCGACGCTGGCGAGGTGAGGCGACGCCCGCGAACCGGGCGGCGCGCGCTAGTGCGAGACAAAGGCCTTATGTGGCGCACGGCTGGATACGTGCTGCGACGCGAGACGTCGGGAAATACGTGTGGGAGTGAATGAAGGTGCAGATTGTGAGTGGGTGGTGTGCTGGGAAGTTGATGATTGACCGTCCGCATTTGGGCTGCAGTCCTAAACTCTCCTATCCACATATTCACGTCTTTGATTCCGAAGTTGGTACACCGTGGCGGCGTCGCGCCGCGTTTGACTTTCCGAGTGACAAAAACGCTGCCCCACTTCCGCGCGGCGCAAAATTGCAGCTAATGGGACGCGGCTGACCGACTTCATTCTCCCGGCCTTCATCTGGGTCATTCTGGGCCCGCCAACAGACGCTTGTCGTGCACTGCTGGCCTGGAGCTCCCCGTTCTCAACGTCGCGTGGGGGCCGACCGCGGCCCGCACCAGAGGGTCGAGAAGGCGGCATGCCGCTTACACCTGGCCCCACGCCGACAGATGTGCCGGCGTCGGTGCCGATGGAGGGAGGGAGGGAGGGGGGGGGGAGGGGAGGGGCGCCGGCGCCGGGGAGCGGTGAGGCACGCCCTGAGCCGGTGTGAAGCCCTCCGGAGCAGGCGTCAGGACTGATGCGCTGCAGAGCGGCGCCCCGGGCGACGGGTGCCGACTGATGACCGCCCGGCGTCGGCAGCCTGTCGCCGCGGCGGGCGGGCGGACGTGTTCATCTGACCCGGCGACGTACCAGCTGACCCAGGGTCGGGTCGGGCTCGTTTCGGCCAGAGGCGACCGTGTGACCGGTCCCGCTGCCGTGGCCGGGCCTGTCAGCCCGCGCCGTCGCTCGCCGCTACCGGCTCGCAGCCGACAAAGCCCTAGATCCGCTATCACAACTTGTTTGCTGACCGCCTGACGCGCAGGCGGGCGGCCGCCAACCGATGCATGCTTGCGCTGTTCCGATGCTGCAAGATAGCCGGATCAGCAGGCTGCGAATTCGCACGATTCGCCAGAACGGGCGTCGTCGGCCGGTGTTGCAGCTCGTATTTTTCGCGATGAGTGAGGGATTCACGAGCGTTGTTGGATGGCGCTGATTCTGTTGCTGATTTATTTATGTGCTGGTTGTGCCGCACCCAGTAACTCTTTTTTACATCCCCCCTGAGACCCCGCGCTCTCCGACATGGCGGCTAATATGGAGCTCAGCAGATTTTATTGGTGTGAAACGGAGGATGTCAAACTGCCAAATCAGCATGGCTTGGGACTTTAATCCGCCATACGTCAGATAAGCCGGCTTTATATCGCGCACGGCCGGAATCTCGGTAGTGTCCGATTAGCGAGTGACACCTGTGTTGGGCGCGCGGTGTCCGTTTAGCGAGTGACTGGCGCGGGCCCGACGTCGGATATTCTGCTCGCCAGTCTCCGACCCGTGGCGTGCCGGCCCAGCCCAATAAATCAGGCCCCGTATGGCCGTGTGAAATGCGGGCTAATTGGTTTCAGCCAAGTCGGTAGCCGCCGCCAGACTGATGACATTATTAATCGTGATGTGAGCTCGGCACGTGTATGCAGCGGCGGTCACTGCTGGCTGGTCTGTGCTGTGGTCTGCCGTGCTGCCGACCGCAGCTGACACTGCTCGCAGGATGCGTCACAAAGCGGACTGGGCTTCCGACCGGAAATCCGCGCGGAGGCCACCGCAGGAAAATACCGCGTCTTCACTAACGAGCAATTGACATCGCCAGAGATCCTCGTCGGTTTAGGTGGCTTTGTGATCAGAAGAGACGACACGGGTCACTGAGTTCGATTCTTCTTTCTCTAATTCCTTGTTATATGTGTCCTTGAAATCACTCAAGTACAGCCCGTCATGGCATTGGGCCATTTTCACCGGCAGTCACTTGTGTTTGACTCAAGTTAGTGAAAGATTGCTCAAAGCTGATGTTACGTCACCTTTGTTTGTCTGGCGTTTCCTCCCGCGGCCAAAGCTGGGCTCGGTGCCAAGTTTCTGCACCGCCTGCTTCCCCGAGCTTGATTGGTTGAAAGATCGCGAGTCGCCGCGGCGACCGGAAGCTTTCCCGCAACGCTGACTCCCGCGCCCGGTCCTGTCCTATTTCAGGACGGAGCGATGCGCCGTGCGAAAGCGCTCCTGGGGCGGGGGAATTTAATTGAACGGAGCAGATGTAGATCAACAGCTGCGGAGGTGCACGAGCCGGTAACAAGCGTCGCTGTTTGTTCAGCTGGAGCATCCGCCTGTGCAGACGGGCCGACCGCGCCTCAAGAGCGGCATGAGAGAGCGGGGCGGGGCGCGTCGGCAGAACGGGGAAGGGGGGGGGGGGCGTCCGGCGTCTGGGAACGACTTCGTCACGGAGGCGGGCTGGTGGGGTTGGGGGGGGGGGGGGTGCTCGAGCGGGACGGACACGGGCAAGTGCGGCTGCCAGTGGGGGGGGGGGGGGGGGGGCGGGGATCTGGAGCGCGAGCGAATCGGACCGAGTCGTGTTCCGCTTACAAATGACGTTGTGCCAGCTAAAGTGATGAGCCGATGCTTCGACTGATCGCCACGCTGACGACGCACGTAACGGCCAAACTTGGAACCCATCTGACCAAGTCGAGGCGATTTGTTTTCGGGCGTCTGTGAGCTGCTGGCTGGCCGCGACCGCGTGACCCAGTTGTGCGACAGGGTCGCAGGGTGAACTGATGGGAGCCAGCGGCCGCCGTGTCGGCCTGCTGGCCGTCGGTCACCGCCGCGCCACGCCGTCACTGACACCGCCCCGCTTCCGTTGCAGCCGGTCGTCGGCGACTGACCATGAAGGAGGGCGCGCCGGCCGAGCCTAGGTCAGCCCCGAGGTCAGCGGCGGGCGGCGGCGCGGCCGCCGCGCCCGTCACCAACTTCGAGTACGACGACAACGAGTGGGACGTCGGCATCGGCGACCTCATCATCGACCTGGACGCTGACATCGAGAAGAACAACGACGGCGGAGGCGCCAGCCCGGGCGCGACGGCCGACGCGGCGGGCATGGGTCTCAAGCCGCCGCACGCCGGCGCCGGCGACAAGGGGCTCAAGATGAAGATCAAGCGGCGTTCGGAGGCCAAGCACGAGATCGTGCACTCGGACAGCGGCGCCAAGGCGGCGGCCGGCGAGGACGGCCGCGCGCCGAGGCCGGCCGCCCGGCGCGGTGGCGCGCATAAGAAAGAGCGGCGCGAGAGAGACGTGGTGAAGGTGGAGGGCGCACCAGCGGCGGCGGTGGCGGGCTCGCCGGAGCCGCCTGTCGACGCCGACTCGCAGCCGCTGGCCAAGCGGCAGAAGACGGAGACGCCGGTGCCGGTGAGTACCGCGCCGTGGTTTGGCACGCCCGCCTCTGCGCCCGTAACAGCCGCGTGTTTGTTTACTCACACGTCTCCGGCCTGTCGCTCGTTCGCATCCTGATGAGCGATCAGACAGCCCGGGGCTGTTCCGATTTCTATCAGCGTGTGCTTTATCTTGGTCTCACTTCGTGCCTGGCTAATTCGGCCGTTTATTTCGGCGCGCCCGCCGCACGCGTGCTCCGGCCGCACGCGTGCGGCGCCGCCGCGCACCAGCTGCCGCGCGTGACGTCGCGCGCTGCGGACGGCGCGCCGGCGCGCCGGCGGCGTCCGCGCGCCAGCCGTCGGTGCTGTCACGCCCGCGCCCCGTCAACGGAGATCGAGCAGGTGCCGGCGTTTGGGGCGCGGCGACGGCGGCGGAGTCGGAGCCGAAGCCGGAGCCGGAGCCGGAGGCGGCGCTGTCACGCGCGGGTCAGCGGGCGCCGTTTTAGCTGCAGTCTTGATCGGGACGCGCTCCCGTTCGCCAGCTGATTCAGGTGGTGTTATGAGACTCATGGACGCGGGGACCTCGAGTATGATGTCAAACACTGCCGAGGTGTCTTTTTTCCTTCACGTTGTCCGACTAGACGACACCCTATCTTTTCAACGCGTGGCAGTTCCGTTTTCGCTCCAGCATATGCACACTCTATTATCTGCATTTCGTCGCACAAGCCGAGTCCTCGCGATATCTTGCTTCGCGCCGCGGAATTGACGGGTCCGGTCCCACAAGTGCTGGGCACCAGTGCCGGCGGCCCCATCTCCCCAGACTATCGGCGCGGCCACTGGACCTTAATTGGCGCACTGGCACCGCGCGCCGCACGCTATTTGGTAACGACCGAATCATGGCACGCCGGTCCAAATTACGGTGCTTGCTTATTGGTTTTCGTTTGTAATTGCGGGCGGGCGCAGCGACCGAGCACGTGCCGCGCTCCCCACGCCGCCGGGCGGTCGAGCGACGGCTACTGGACCGGGCGTGTGCTCGACCACACGCTTCCGCAGACAGAGATTGGTGCGTGAAGTGACGGCCGCGCCGGCGTCGCTCGCTGCCGAGCCAGCGGCCCGGTCCGTCCGGCTCCGGTGCCGCTCCTGGTTTCGGCTGCGGCTCCGGCCCGGGCTTCGGTGTCGGCTTCGGCTTTGTCTCCGAGGCCCGTCCTGGCTGCGGGGCTCGGATTGTTTTGAGAGCGGCGCTGGAATGCTAAGCGCGCCCTGCTGGAAGGCAGCTCTAATGGACGCGCGGCGTGCCAGGTCTGCCTTTCGTCCTGCCCCGCTTTTTATGGTGGCTGTCGGAGCCAGCGCCCGCCCTCTTTATCTCGCTGTTTGTGTCCTCGCTTCGTTTTATTCCTTTTGCTGGCGCTTGCCTGTCTCGTTGTGGCTCCCTCCCGATTACTTTTCCGTGCAAGTCAGCGCCATTTTGTTGTTTCTGTTGTTTCCCATTCTATTTATCTTGCTCTCTCCTTCACTCCTTCGCATTTTCTCGCCCGTGCGTAATGCTTTCCCAATCTCTCCTGCCTTGGTCTTTTTCCTATCTCTCACTTCTTCATTTTTTGTGTTTGTTTCTCACACTAGCTCTCCCTGTCCCATTCTCTTTCTCTCCCGCGCATCCTCTACCTGTCTTTCTATTCTCGCCTTCTTATTGAGGTGTTGGCTTGCGGTGTGGTCTCCTGTGTTGCCCCTCGATTCTGATTTCAGTGCCACGGAAACTGCTCGGATTCATGCAGCTGGTTAACACTTGCTTCGGAAAAAGAGAGCATTGCGTTGGTTTACAAAACTAAGGATGAGAAAAAATACCGCCAGGCATCGCTAAATCTTGATTGGAGTCAACGGTATCCCATGCATTTCATTTCATAAGAGAGTCTTTCCACAGCCTTTCATCACGCGTGTGAAGCATTGCATTCGTGGTCCAGAGAAGGCGATACGATTGGAGACGGTGCGAGCGGACGAGGAAGTCGCCGGGCCGGCGTCCGCCCCGGCGGCGGGTGGCACCCCAACGCCCCAGGGCCCGGCAGCCTGACCCTGCCTCCTGACCTCGACCCCGTTACCGGGGCAGCGCCGTCGGCCGACCCGACCCGGCCGGCGGCGGCCGCGTCGGCGCCGTTTTTGTCCGACTTTCACCGGCGGCCGGCGGGCGGGTGCCCGGGGCTCGCCCGCCGGCGGCACGGCAGAGACGACCGTGTCCGACGGCCCGGCATCGGGCAACGCTGCCGGCCGGGGAACGACGGGCAGACAGACACCCCGCACGGCGAGCCGCCGCCGGCCGGGGAACGACGGGCAGACAGACACCCCGCACGGCGAGCTGCCGCCGGCCGGGGAACGACGTGCAGACAGACACCCCGCACGGCGAGCCGCCGCCGGCCGGGGAACGACGGGCAGACAGACACCCCGCATGGCGAGCCGCCGCCGGCCGGGGAACGACGGGCAGACAGACACTCCGCACGGCGAGCCGCCGCCGGCCGGGGAACGACGGGCAGACAGACACCCCGCACGGCGAGCCGCCGCCGGCCGGGGAACGACGGGCAGACAGACACTCCGCACGGCGAGCCGCCGCCGGCAGACAAGATGGCGGCGCGGCGGTGGGTGCCTCGCGGGCTCGACATGCAGGAGGAAGGAAACTTCTCAGCGGCTCGTCCACTGTTGGGAAGGCCCAAATGAATCTCTCAGCTCAGCACCCGGATGAGCATCGGACTTGGTTGGCCGAGCTCAAGTGAACGCGAGTCACATTCTGGATAAATTGAGAACCAAATGGTCCGGTTTTCACATGCATTAGCCGGTAATCAAGCGCAAAGCTCGTTCTCAGGCCACTAGTGGCTAATGGCTTGGGAAATGGCCTTAACCGGCGGTATAAAACCGCCGCGTTTGGCAACGATAAACCATTCCCACGACAACCTTCCGGTCTGCCTCGGGATGCGGGTGGCAATGCGGACAAAGGTGAAAGTTGAAATTGTCAGAAAGTTGGTTGTTAATCAGGAAAGGTGGTGGAAAAGTTGGCACGGTAGAGCTGGCTGGCGAGCGTCTACCGAAAGGAAATGCTGACGTAATGTAAGCTTTATGAAAAGTTTCCATGACCGCGACGCCACCGGCCATTCTGGTCCTGCTGAACTATTTACCCTCGCCTCGGAGCCATTTAATTTAGCACACGGTGGTGCGGCCCAGGCGCAGACGTCGCCCGGCTGTCACGCGCAGTCGCCACGCCAGCGGCGAAGCCAGGCGACCTGAGGGCGACGGCGACGCGCCCGGCACACACGCCGACACCGGTGCCAGTGCCCCCGTTGCTGTGATCGGGGCACGGGCCGCGCTCCCGGCCGCTCCGCACGGCTCGCTCGACGATCCTCGCTCGGTTCGACGGCCTGTGTCACCGCCCGCCGACCGTACGCTCCACATCATCGTCGGCCTCGACGCGCTGCGCCGCTGGTCGGTCGCCGCGCCGGGCTGCGGCCCGGAAGCGGCCGCTCCCACGGCGGCGGGCGGTGGCCGCTGGGACCGCGCCGACCGGCAGTTCAGCCGCGCTCAGCGATTCAGCCGCGCTCAGCGATTCAGCCCGCTCAGCGATTCAGCCCCGCTCAGCGATTCAGCCGCGCTCAACGATTCATCCGCGCTCAGCGATTCAGCCGCGCCCAGCGATTCAGCCTCGCTTAGCGATCCAGCCCCGATCAGCGATCCAGTCCCGCTCGTCGATCCAGTCCCGCTCAGCGATCCCGCCCGCTCAGCGGTGCTGGACGGATGACGCTTTCCGGCATCACCAAATGGAGAGGCGCGCTCGAGAGTCTCGGCGGCGGCGCGTGATCGATCAGAACGGCGCATCTGACGCCGCCGCGCCGTGTTGGCCGCGACGCGGCGCGGCCGGAAGGTCAGAGGCCGCGGATGCCGTGGCGCGCCTCAGGCGGCGCGAGGCGGCCGGTGCCGCCCTCCTAAATGCACCCACCGTTAGCGGCGATAATCACCGCCGCCGAGGGGCTTCCGGTGGCGCCGCAAAACGTTTGTGTGCGTGGGTGTGTGCGAAAAGCGTGTGCGTAGCGGCGTGCAAATGACAGGGTGACGGATGAGAAGTGGTTCGTCCCGTGGCCGCGCCAAGGTGAAAAGCAGGGGCCGTGCACCTGCGCATGGAGTTGATGCGAGCCACTGGGAATGTCGGATTGCGTGACGTTGTTGTGAGCGGCGTGGCTTGCCTGACATTCCCGCATTCGCCGACGGCATGGCTATAGCGGCCCTTGTTACGTCATGGGCGCCTTCTACAGGCAGAGTTATTCAACCAGTCACCGAGTCCAACAATGCTGATGAGTTATTGCCTTGCAGGTCTTTGCCATCCATATCCACACGTGTTCCGTGCTTAGCTATTTGTTTGCTGTCATGTTTGCTTGTGGTTTTGAACTGGCGACTGTGTTGGCCCTCGTCACGTGCCGGTGTTTGCGTTTGTGGCCTTTGTGTGTGCCGCACCAGCGCCACTTGCGCCGTATTAGCATCTCGGGACCGCTGCCAGTGATCATGGCAGCGGAGCAGCCGTGGGAATCTGGGGCAGGGCCCTGACCAGCAAGCGTTTCTGGCGCGGCGCCGTGGGAATCCGCAGCAGGGCTCTGATTGAAGCGGCATTCTTCCCGCCGTGGGAATCCGCAGCAGGGTTGTGTCACGGACGGCATTCCGTGGCGCGGCGCCAGGGTAGATCGGCGGGCAGGGGCCTGTTCAGACCGGCGTACTCTGCGGCTGTCCAGCTGTCGAACCGGACGCAACAACACGGCGGATTGTCGCTGCGAGGGTAGGCGTGACGTTAGGGGAGGGGAGGCGGGGGGGGGGGGGGGGAGGGGAGCAGAGGGGGAGGGCAATTGATCCGCATTTTCCGGCGCGTGGCGTGTCGCAAAGGGTCGCGCTCCTTCCTGGAGAGGAACCGTGCTGGGGACGAGGGCGCAGGGTGGCGCGAGCGTCCGTGCGAGGCTGTGCGCGTGCATTGGGCCGCAGGTGGTCAGAGAAGCCCGGGCGCCCGCCACCGACCAGCGGTCGTTCGGAGCCGTCGAAAAACAGCAGCCAGTCACGCTACGCGAACGCGGACTGCCGGCCAAATCAATACCGGTTAGGGTGCGAAGTCCCAACGGTCCCGTATCGATGGTGTTTCACGGTTTCGCCCGAGCTCGTGGGTGTTCACTCAGGACGGGCAAGGCTGCCGCCTGAAAATGAAGCGATTCCGGGTAGTGAGGTCAACCAGTTGTTCCCAAGATTAAGTGAACCGTCCCAGCGGACGGTGCGCTTAATTACGTTTCCAGGGAAGGCACGGATTCGGGCCCCAGCCAGCCAGCAGCCAATAACGTTGCCCGTCCTGTCTGGGTTCAGTGGGAGACAACTGTCAGCTCCCTGTCATTTTCAGTCAGTTGCCAGGGAGTGAAACGCTTAATCTTCGGTCACGTTTGAAAAGGCACGAGTGCAAACATCTCGGGCGAAATACCTGAGCTGTTTCGCAGGCTACCTTCAGCATTTGGCTTGGCGAAAGCCTCGGCAGCGCTCGTCCGGTGGCGGCAGCCCGGCACGGCACCCCTCCGGTCCCACCCCTCGGCCATCCGCAAGCCGGCGGTGAATTATGCAGCAGGCGTTTTTTACTGCTGGCGAGCGCTCCCCGCTCGACGAGCCGTGGCGGCACAGTGGCGCCGCCCTGGCGGCCGCCGTCCGCTAATTGCTGTCATCGCAGTGTCGGCGGCGGTTAGCGCCACTAAATTCCAGCGCCGATCTAGCCGCCCGCCCGGGGCTGTTTACACGCGATGACATCACGGGCACGTGTCAGCAGGGCGGTGGGCACGTTGACCTGTATCGTGTGGCGGTTCAGTGCACGCGGCGCTGGCCTGCTTGTTGGTGCAAGGTGGACGGTGACGTTTATGGCGCCAGTGTGCAGACTGCTGTCGTTCAATCGGGGGTTTATATTTAGCAACGTATCACAGGCTCACAACTTTTCACACTGCTGGTTGTTTGGGGCTCGGTTCGATTGTTCGGCGACGGACATGCGATTCGTGACGACACGCAGCCTTTACGGCTATCGCCTGAGCCGCCGCCGTCTCCATGGCTGGACGGCTGGAGACAATGGCGCCTGGCCTTGCGGTGGCAGCTATTTCTTATGCTGCCCGTGCGCCGAGTCAGGTGCCCCCGGGCTGGCTGTCGGCCGTCACATGAACCACCCCGGCCGCTCAGATGGACGCAGGATTGGTGCCGTTGGGCGCTCTCTGGCCACATCCGCTCTTGACGGCGCCTCCCATTTTTCTCGTCTTTGATGCGGTGCGATTTCACCACATCATTTCTCCCCGAGACGGGCCGACGGCCGACGGAGCAAACGAGCGCATGTCTCTCTCCCGTGCTGCTGTCTCTTGGCTCCAGCTGACCGCTGCAGACTCCCTGGCTGCGGTCCTCTCGGCCGGCCTCATATCGGTACGAACGGAGGCCGGCGCCGCCAGACTGGCGCACGAAATGAGCCCGTGCCCCTGATAAAGGAGGGCCCTGCCCTCGCTTATGAAGCGGAACTTAATTATTGGTATTAGGGGGACGCCGGACGCTATTGACGGGTATTGACAGGGTGGGAGCGTGTGTCGCGCGGGCGTCGCCCCCCCCCTCCCGCGCCCCCTTCCCCCGCTAATGCCTGCCATCGCTATTAGCCGCCTAATGAAATGCGGTGAATGCGCGCGCAGCGCGGCGTGCGTCGGCCTGACGTGATCAGGCTGCCTGACCTTACCTGACGTGATCAGTGCAGGACCGGGGGCGGGATCGCGACCCGACCCCGGCCACCGGCCTCCAGATTGCGTGGTCTGTCCCGAACCCCTGGCCTGCGCGCGGGGTGAAGCAGACGTCGAGCCGTGGCCCGGCGTCTGCGGCTGTCGCTCGGCGAAGCTGTGTCCTGCAGTGGGCCGGCCGGGGAGGGGAGGGGGCGCCCGCGCCGGTGCCTTCCACCCGCTCATTCATATGCATCAGGCGGCCGTGGGCGATTAAATCGGACACGCGCGCGGCGACGGCTGAGCGCGCCCGCCGCCGCCCCTAACAAGCCGCTTTATCAGCGGCGCTGGACGGCCCGGCGGTCGCGCGTCGCCACGAGGCGCGCTGCCGGGTCTGCAGCTGATGTGAACCGGCTTCATTACCTACGACAATTTACATGCAAGTGAACAAATTTATACGGCTATCCCAAAACGTTAGACAACACTTCCTGGAGCCTCGCGCTGGGCTGATTAGCATGACCCTCCCGCCCAACTCTCTCCATTTGCGGCTGCAGTGCCCAGGCCCTTGCAGCGGGTGCCAGTTTGATATTACGCCTCGCCGCCAGTCCGCCTCGGCCGGATGTCCTTTTAAGCTAATGTTTGGCTTTGACTGGTAGTCGGTAAGCTTTTCCGGCTATCGGACCCTTCAAGAGGCCGCGTCTGTGTTTATGTGCGCGGCGCGGCGCCGCCACCGACCCAGCGAACCTCTCCGTCCTTCCTTGGGGACGCGCCGCGACACCTGTTCGGCCCGAGCGGTCGGCCCCCTTCCCCGGCTGCCAAGAGAGATGACCCCGCCGATACGGCCCGTCACGGTCGACGCCGGCCGCCTGACGGATAGCGCCCGCCGCCCACTCTGACTCGAGTCACGTGACTCACAGAGGGCCGCCGGGCCTCGCTGGGCGGCGCGTGACAGCCGGCGGACAGGGCCGGGCCTCGCTGGGCGGCGCGTGACGGCCGGCGGACAGGGCCGGGCCGGCGGCAGGCGCCAGAAGCCTGTTAAGCCATGGAACACGTTTTCCGGTTTGATTTCGTGGAGGCTGCAGACGCTGAACGATGGACGTCCTTGTCGACGCGCTGTTTGCATTGAGCAGGGTTGCTTATCTACCGGGCTGGGGTGGCAGGCTTTCGTGGAAGAGGAGTGCAGCTGGCCGGACGAGAAGGCAACGGACGCTGTCTGACCTGCTGCTGTTGGCTGGCAGAAGTCAATCGGTTTTCAGTGATGTTGAAATGTTTGGTCTGCTGGCGTGGTGCTGTGGAATCGCCAGTTTGAATGTGATGCAAGGGACATTGGAATCCCGAATGCAATACGCAAAGTAGCTTGTGTCGCAGTTGCCACAGTTCCCAGTCTGAAAAGAATCCGTTCACTCTCAGCTCGATCTCATTCACAGATGGGACATTCTCTATTTGTGAGTGAATGGCTGTGAATGCTCTTCATTCATTCAGCGTCGCATTTAAGCGCAAGGCAAAATGAATCATGAATATTCGCTTCGCTCTGCTGCTCTTTCTTTTCCGCTCGAACGGCTGTCTTGAGACATGCAGATCAGCGATATGAGTGCTTAACTTCTCGAAAATTGCTCCTTGCCCAACATCATTAGCCTGTCCAAATGTCAGCTCCGCTAACTTTCCCCTCCTGAACCGTGAGCTGGTCGCTAGGATGATGGATTAGCTACGCTACCATAACGACCGGCGACACCGGGCTGCCGTCATCGGGAGACTCACTCTTCTCTCGCTAGATGGCAGCAGCGGACGGCGTCGGCCTGATCGGCCGGTCGGCCGGTGCAAGCTTTCCCCTTCGTGACTGAAATGCGATCGACGAGGGGGAGGAGGGGGGGGGGGGCTGGCGTCGCCGCGGTCGCGCTGCTGCCCCCCTCCCCGCGGACGACGCGGTGAACGGGGCTCGTTAACGAACCGCGGGCCGCGCGCGGTGGCCGTGTCGGCGGACGCCGCCGGACTCGCGGGATTACGGCGCATTAGGAGGCTCTCAGTGGCCGCGCGGCGGCGATGGGCCCAGGAGACACTTGCTCCGGAGCTCCAGCCGCTTAATCTGCCGTCGCGGCGAGTAGCGGGCCGACGTCAGCGCAGTTGTTACGGTCACGGGCTGGAACGCACGGGTCTGAGCGAGGAGCTATGGTAGCAAGGGTCCGGTCCGCTGAGAAAGGATCGTTGGTACCGAGGGTCCGGTCCGCCGAGAAAGGAGCTTTGGTGCCGAGGATCTGGTCTACTGAGAAAGTTCTCCGTGCTTCGCGATGCCGGACTCAGGCTCTTTCAAACTGCTCGTCGTTTTGCGTCAGCCGTGAGGCATTTGCGCTGGTTGGTTATGAAAAAGTTGCAAAAATGTTAGAATAAAGCTAAGTTTGAGATAATGTAGCGTGGCTTTGCTCATGGTCAAATGATAAGGTAGCTACATTATGAATCCAAGGACGCAATTGACTGCGGTAGAAAAAACGCGCAGAACGCCTAACGAAAGCTCTGGAACAGGGATGCACAGGAGGACTAAACGCTGCTCTACACCTCCTCTCACGTCATCTTGCGCGGGCCAGCTCATCAGTGCTCGTATCACTCAGGGACAACCAGACGGCTGACCTGACCTGATCTTATCCGACGTTACCCGCGACCTGGCCCGACCTGACCTGTATGCCTGTCTGTGTGTTGCAGGGCGTGTCGGACGTCAGCGTCGGCACGGACGGCCACGTGAGCCAAGGCACGCTGGTCGAGCCCGACTGCCTGGGGCCCTGCGAACCGGGCACCACAGTCAGCCTACAGGGGATCGTCTGGCAGGAGACCCAGGGCGGTGAGTGTGCCGCCTGTGCTGGCCGCGCGCCGCCGGCAGTGAGCGATCACGCGTCGGCTGCTGGAGATGGGAGACGCCTACGCGTGACGGCTATCGCGAGGGAGAAAAAGCCGGCCAAAGACAAGAACGCGTCGCCGACACAGGTTGGGCACGTGTTGATGCCCGCTCGTGGTGCTGGACGGAACAAAGGGACGCAGGAGGCGTTAC